CTAATAATTTGCATTGTCATGGTTTGAACATATTTCCAGGTCAGAGAAGAGTTTGTCCTTTCAACATTTATTTCTTTTGAATTTTGAAAGTAGTACATATTCATAACAGATTCAAACAATATAGAAGTGTTCGATATAAAAAAGTAAAGTCTTCATTTCAGTGTCTTACCTCACCCATGTGCACCTGGGTATGCGTGCTCAGTCGTGTCCAACTGTGCAGCCCCATGGTAACTGCAATCCATTTGTGCCCTTTATTTCTTACTTTTGTTATTACAGACAAAGCCACGGTGAATAGTCTTGTACCTGCCTTTGCAGGCTTTCATTAGTAATTGTTAAAAAAAATTTCTAGATGTGAAAGTGCTAGGTGGAAAGATTTTAGAATTTATTCAAATCTGCCAGATTGCTCCCCATGAAAGCTATACCAGTGCTACTCCCTCTAATGGTGAAGGAAGGGCTCGGAATGCCTCTGATAGGGCTTTTATCAGGGAATGCCAGCAGTCTCTCTCGCCACATCCGTTGGTTACTTCTCAGGCCATTATCATACCCAACCCATCAGCAGCTTTGACTGAACAAACCACTCTTGCTTATAACGCTTTGCTTCTTGATTTCATGGACACCATACTGTCTAGGTTTTTCTTCATCTCCTTTGCTGGCTTCTCGTTGGGCTCATTTTGTAATATTACAGTGCCCCAGATTTGTTCCTCTTGTCTCCATGTTTCTAATATATGTGATAGGTGCTCACGTATAACATGTGCCAAGTGTCCTCACCTTCTGCCTTGAGGTACTAGGCCGCCTAACAGTAAAATGCTGAGAAACCACGAAACCTTTCTGCTGGGATTAGTCCATGACCTACCTGCCTCAGTGTTGTAATAAATTGAGATAAAAGAGGTTGGAAGTTTAGAGAGGGTAGTTAGAGTGTTGGTATATTTTCCCTCTGGTCTCAAGTAAAACGAGGTGGGCTTCAGGGAGCTTACCTGGAGAGCTTACCTTTTGTGCCTTGGTGATTAGAAGTCACAAAATGGTGTGTTAATGTTTAGCAAAACAAGTCTAAAAGCCCCCAGATGAGGCCAGAGTGGCTCATCTGGAAGCAGAGCAAGCACAGCCCCAATGAGAGAGGGTTGTCCTTCCACCCAACCAGGACACTGCTGCCTGGATGTGGACAGTGGGAGAGCTGCCTGGAGACACCTTAAGGGTATGAGATGCAGTGTGACTCCTGAGAGGCTGTGTGTGATCCCAGACAAAGCGGTGTCCCACTGAAGCCCGGGCTGAGGGAGGAGACCCTTCTGTAGACGAGGGGGTGGTCCAGTGGAGGGATCTCTGTGGAAATCACAAAAGTGTCCCAAAAAAGGAGGGCCAGCTCTGGTGCGTCTGCTGTCCCAGGGCACCAGGAGCAGAAGATGATGGCACCCCCGTCCCCCAGAAGACTAAGGTCTAGCCCTTTCATTGACCAGTCCCTGCATCCAAGTCTGAAAGGGGCAGAGATTAAGGAACAGGAGTCAAGTACTAGCTCGGAAACAGTGAGACACCCAGCTTCCAGCCCTGCTAGTTGGCACCCCACTCCCACACCCCTACCCTGCCAGGCCCGGGTCAAGGCAGGCTCTAAGCTGGATATAAGTTTGAGGGTTTGGGCATTCAAGCCAGGCTGTACTGGAGTTAGTAGATCAGTAGACTGAACCGGACTCTGTCAAAACAAAAAAGTTAATCTGGGAATGAATGCAAAAGTTACCAGACAAGTCTGGTAAAAAGTTACAAGTCTGCGTGAATTTTCATCTGGGGTGGAAAAATAGCTTACAGATGAAGTTTAAAGGGATAACGAAAGAAATGGGCTTATCAAGAAACTGGTTACACAGGCACCAACACTGAAGGACCAAATGCTTGTCCCTAAGCAGCAAGACAGACGTGGACACACATAGAAATCCTGAAGCAAGGAGGTGGAATGACCCGGACAGTGCAGCCTGGGCCCTGGGCCAGAAGGATCCAGAAGGACAGACTGCCAAGGGCTGCGGGCTGTGGGCTGAGGGGGTTGGGAAAAGGCTCCTTTGAACAGCTGGAGGCCAACCGACAGTCAGGGAAGCAGGACGTGGAGGCTGCTCAGAGGCCAACGAGGACATGGCGGGTGGCGGGTGGGGGGTGCTTCAGGAGAAGGTGGGAGGGTGAGGCTTCTCTCCTGGGTGCCTGAATGCTGAGGTGGAAGCTGTGGTTTTCTCTGTGAGAAGGCTCTTAGCTGTCAAGCAGCCAAACTATGTTCCTGTGGGCACCCTAACCTAGATTGGGGGGCACCCTAACCCAGAGTGGGGTGGGGTTCCCCCCAGGGACTGCAGGGGCATTGGCTTGATGCTGGCGAGAGGCACAGGAGAGGTCCGGTGTGGGGTTTGGGAGTTGTTTGTTGCATGATGGCGGCAGGATTAACAGAGGTCAGAGGAGGAAGGGCACTCAGCACCTGGTCATCTCAGCTGGAATCGTTCTATTGGAGCAGACATCAGTGGCCCTCGGAGACTTGGGCCATGCAGACTCTATCCTGAGGGGCTTTTGAGGAACCCCGCTACAAGGACTGAATTAAAACAAGACAGGTGTTTTCCTGAGGCCCGTCCGTGGGAAAGAGAGGTGTCTGTGGGCAGCCCCTCCAGCCTCTGGACTTGAAGATGGCGTCCGGGCAGTTCTTCTCTGGTGTACCCCGGGGGGACGGCAGTAGGTGCTCAGGCCTGTCTGCTCCCCTGGAGCTGGAGCACCATGTCGATTAGGAAGACTGGCACATCCAGGGATCCTCAGGGCCAAGTCTTGGGCAAACCAAGCCTCACCCTGGCTGCTCTGTGCAGAGGTGACTGGTGTATCTGGTGTTCCTGGTGCCAGGCAGGGCAGAGGCTCAGGGAGCCGTGCCTCTGAGTCTTCCAGGGCCTCTGGGGAGGCTCCCTGGAGAAGTTGACAGTTTAGGGGTGGAAGAGATATTAGAGGGGGATCAGCCTGATGTCTTGCCTGATGCCTGAGTTTTCTCTGTACCATGTTCTCCATCCCATCCAGACAGACCCCACATCCACCCTCATTGTCTGAACAGCTCCAGGGTAGCCCATGCCATCTCCAGACGGTGAGAGTCACTCCTCGTTTTGAGCTGAATTTGACTTCCCTGCCCTAATTCTGTTTTCCGGGCTGCACAGGACAAGTAGGCCCCCTCACCATCCCGTTCTCCCAAGTCCTCTCCAGAGAGATTATCCTCTCCAGTCTTCTCCAGTACCGGTGGTCCAATGTGATAGAGAGCCTCCCCCATTCTCCCCTAGCTCCCTCTGACATTGCATGATGTGGGTTCTTCAGGCCTGGGGCTAGGGGCCTCCTGGTTCAAACCACTGATGACACTCAGCCCATCTTGCAGAGAACTTTCCACCACAGCCATCCTCATGCTCCCTGCTCTGGCCTGGCCGGGGGTGTTTGTTCCAGCACCAGATGTAGCCCAGGCCAGCCCTCGGCCGAGTGACTTCTCTCAATGGTCCATGGAACAGTGAGGCCTTTCTCCATCCCTTCGTCTTCGGACAGCTACTCCTGTCCTCTCCTCAGATGCATCACTGTTCCATGGACCGCTGAGAAAAGTCACTGGCAGTCAAATTATGACTGACAGTGTCTCATTTCACACTGATTGTAGCTCATCCCTATGGTGAAAAGTGTGTGTCATAGAATATAGGCGGTATGGTAATACACCCTGCTCTGGATGGGAGGACTAATGAGATAATGCATTTCAAACAGCACAGTGTGAAGCACAGTAAACAATAAGTGATATCTGCTTTATTCAAATCCTGCGTCTGCTCACTGCTGCCCCCAAGCAGGCCCTTGCCTGACACTCCAGCATCACATCCCACGTTCCTCTCTCTCTGCTGTGCCTTCAATGGCTTGTGGTAGGACCAGAGTTATCCTCTTCCGGAAGTGCCTGGTCCCCGGGTCCCCCTCTGGTGCATGTCCTCGGCTGGCACTGCTCTTGGAGGACCTTCCCTGCCCGCCCCACTTTCTGTGCATTCTCCTGCCTCCCGCAGACTTTCCTGTATCATAGTTGCCCAGTCTTGTCTGCTCCCATATCTACCTCCTTCCTTAAAACGTGACTCTCTGAGAACAGAGGCTGTTATTTATTTTCACGTCTGTGTTATTAGCACAGTGCTTGAACATGATAGAGGCCCAGGACATGAGTGCTGAGTGAGTGACACTTTTCTCTTGTTTAATAATACTTGAATTTGCATAGTGCTTTGTCATTTAGCAAGGTTTTTTTTTTAAGCGATTTCCTCATGCCATTGACCTGAGCAGGTCCGTGCAGGTGGTGATGCCCTTGGAAATAGCGGTGTCTGGAAAAACTGGGTCCTCAGGGATGCACCTGAATGCACATAGCCTGGTTTGTGACCCAGCTGCAGTTACAGTCTGGCTGTGGTCAAGCTGCTGTGACTGGCTCTTGGCTTAGAACAGAGGTGACCGACTGGCGGCCTGCTGGTCACATGCAGCTGTGGGTATGCTTTGGCATGCAGTGGGTTTTTTTTTTTTAAGGATAATTTTTCTAACACTTGAAACATCAGGAGATCCTAGTTACTAGCTTAAAAATCTAAGCGTCTGGCTGCCCTGGGATTGCATACCCACATGGACAACAGCTGGCGGGGTGAGAGGGCATGTGCTCCGTCCCTGAGCCCCACCCTCCCCACTGTCTGATCCCCACATGCTTGGCCCCGGTCTGTACTGGGTTTGTGACCTCTGCTGGGAGACAGCATCCTGCCAGGGGGCTTTGGGGGCTTGTGTCTGAGGTGCTTAGTTTGGTATTTGATGTGCCATCATGCTCAGGGGTTGACTAGAACCACTTACTGGTGGAGCAGGTCCGGGTGGGTCCCCAAAGACCACCGCCTGCAGCTGTTAGTAAGCCGTGCACAAGCCCCAGGTTTTGGCTGGGACTGGGGGCAGTTCCCTGCCTTGGCCCCGGTCCTCATCCCGCAGGCTGGGTGGGAAGGAGGTGGGTGCAGCAGTTCCTCTCTTCTCCCCAGGACAAAGGGAGTGATGGGGTCAAAGAGCTGGACAGCATGAAGAGTGATCACTTAAGAACTGTCCAGCTCAATGTCTGCAAAAGCGAAGAGGTGGACAAAGCGGCGGAGGTCATCCGCTCAAGCCTGGAGGACCCTGAGAAAGGTAAGAGTGCCTTGGGGCAGTGGAGGTGGCACCTGGGCTGGCCGTTCTGAGGGGACCCTCCCCAAACATCCCCTTCCATAAGCTAACATCCTGCCAAAAGACAGCTTTCTCTCTTGTTTGGGCTCTTCTTCCTGCTGCACGTGGAGCAAATAGGTTAAATTTCACACTGCACTGAGGCCATACAGACCAACCCAGCCAGTCCTCACGGAGCGCAAGCTCTGGGTGCTGGGCTGATGCTGGGGACGCAAAGATGGCCAAGACACAGCCCCTGACCCCAGGGACTTCACAGTTCACTGGGGAGTTGACCCAGATAATCGCCATATCCCCTGTCGGAGAGCAACATGGGACAGAGGGACATAGCCTGGTCTTGGGGTGGGCTGGGGGAGGGTCAGCCAGGGCAGATTGGCAGAGCGCAGGATGGGCATTCCAAGTGGGAGGGGGAGCGTGAACAGTGGTGGGGAGCACACGGGTTGTGCTGAGGGGCAGCCAGTCAGGGTCAGGCTGGCGGTTGTGTTGGCAGCACATGAGGTCAGGCGAGGAGGTCGTGCAGGGCTTGGGGCCCACGTGAAGGAGCGTGGCTGCTCTCTTGAGGGCGAGGGGAGCCACTGAAGGGGCTTTGCTGTGAGGAATGACCTGCTCAGACTGGTAGTCTGGGGACGCTGGTGGCAGCGCGGAGGGGAACTCAAAGGGAAAGCGTTTGAGTGTGAGCCTCCTGAACTCTAGGGCACTGGGTGTTGGAAAAAAGGAGGCACCAGATTCGAGGAGTATTGCGGAGACAGAGCTGGCCGGACTGTGTGTGGGGGTGAGGGAGAGGCAAGAGGTCTGTATCCTGGACACCTGCTGCCTCGCCCTGGAGGAGCAGCCGAGGGATGGGAGATGCTGAAATGCCTGTGCACACACCCCCTTCCCTGGAAGTCTGTGGGCTGGAAATCAGGTGTGCATGGTTGGAAGTGAGACTAGGAGTGGAGGAGATGCGAGGAGGGACTGCTGGGGAACAGAAGCAATTTGGGGCCAGAGAAGAGAAAGACAACTGTCAGAGAGGTTTGGTACAGTGCCCCAGAAGCTAAGGTAACAGAAAGTTGGGGACCCATCGCCAACAGGGTCACATGCTGCAGAAAATTCCGTAACGTAACAACTCAAGTGCCCTCCCGGCCCAGCCCACGGAGGACCTTGGTGGGAGAGGCTCTGCCATATAGCGGAGAGGAGGGGCACACAGCAGGATGGTGCTGCATTCTGGTTGCGTCGCTTCTTCCAGGACATTTTCCTTCGAGCTTCCTGTCAGCCCAGGAGAAAAGGGAGTGCCTTATTCAGCTCTCTGCCATCCTGCAGAATGGGGTGGGGCAGCTCTCCTGAGCCATTACTTCAGTCAGTGGTAGGGAGCAGGCAAGTGGATGGGTGACCCAGGCCAGTGTTGGCCACTCTGCTGAGCATTTATCAGTGAAGTGGAGATGCTGTCATCCCCCCAGCAGTGACCCCAGGGGCTCCCATGCTGTGCGGCTATCAGAGAAGCTGTCACTGATACATCACCTTGTCAACCCGGGGCCACCCCCACCCCCACAGCAGGCCATTCCCAGGCTCCTCTGCTCTCCGAGGAGAGGCCCATGAGTTCCTGAACTCACTGAACATCTGTTTAGTAATGAACAGGCAGAGCCAGGACTCCTGCCCCATTAAGCAAAGGCAGGATGGGTCCCACTGGGATGATTACCAGCTTGGAAGGTACAGCCTGCCTCACCCCCTCCCTGGTGGTAAAATCCTCCTCCTGCCCGCCTTCCCTGGGCCGCCTTCATAAATGATTAGGCTGGAAAACAGCTGCAGTCAGCACCATAAACCGACTTCATCACAGCCTGTGGGTTTGTGGTGATAAAATGGTCATGGAAAGGAAGGGTCAGGATAGAACTGAGCCCAGAACAGGGCTGCACTGGGGTTGGGGGCTGCTCAGGACCCTGGTCCTTGTGCTCAGCCACCACAGCGGAATCAACTCTATCCCAATACTAGTCTGCCCAGTTAGCCTAACCGGGCAAGTCGGGGAGGACCCCGGGCTCCCCCCCTGCCCTTGGATTGGGCTCAAATCCCAGCACCAACCCTGGTGAAGAAACCTTTCCCTGTTCCTTTTTGCCACATGACACATTCCTGCAAGAGTTATTCAACAACTCACCATCACCTTAATTAACCAGTACTGCATTTTTTGGAAAAAAAAAAAAAAAAGATTTGAAGATTTTTTTAGATCTGAAAAAGAAAATAAATTTGTCATATATGTGGCTGCCCAGGTCTCTCCCCTTTTCCCTTCCTTCTGTGTGTCCCGCCCCCCCCCCCCCCCACCAACCCCTCATGGACGTCTTTTACAGGGCTGTTGTTCTTTATTATTTAGTCACTGAGTTGTGTCAGACTCCTTTGCAACCCCCGTGGGCTACACCCCCAAACTCTAGCCCACCAGGTTCCTCTGTCCATGGGATTTCCCAAGCAAGAATGCTGGAGTGGGTTGCCACTTCTTTCTCAAGGGGATCTTTCTGACCCAGGGCTTAAATCCCCATCTTCTGCATTGACAGGCAGATTCTTTACCACAGAGCCACCAGGGAAGCCCCGTTTTTCTGGGTTAAACGGTGCAAATTCCCCCCCGCCCCCCTCACCCGCCCTCCTTCTCAGGCAATGCTGTCTTTGACCACCAGGTGGCGCCCTCCCTGATCTTGCAGACCAGATGCCTTCCCTAAGCCTGTGGCCACTTTTGACTCATTTCACCCATCCACCTCGACTTCCCAGGTGGTGCTAGTGGTAAAGAACCCGCCTGCCAATGCAGGAGACATAAAAGACACGGCTTCGATCCCTGGTTTGGGAAGATTCCCTGGAAAAGGAAATGGCAACCCACTCCCGTATTCTCGCCTAGAGAATCCCATGGACAGAGGAGCCTGGCGGGCTATAGTCCATGGGTCGCAAGGAGTCAGACATGACTGAAGTGACTTAGCACACACACGCACACTCATCCACCTCGGCAGGAACCTTCCAGGAGACAGTCCATTCTTCCCACCGCCCCGCCCCCCCCCCCGCCCAATTCCCCCAGCATGGAAGGCACATTTTGATGGCGAGTTTGATGCCCTTCACCCTGGCTCTGTGGAATAGTTGCTGCCAAAGCCAGGAGAGCCAGCGGTGGTGGTAAGATGAAGGGGACTGTCAGGTTAGAGCTGGTGAGCCTTCTGCCACCAGCCCCTTTGCCTCCCTCGCAGAGACCTGAAGGACTGGCCATCCAGAGCCTGTGACCAGCCCCTCCTCCACCACCACCACAGGGAAAGGCCGAGCAAGTGGACCAACCCGCAGGCTGTGGGCATGGCCTGATCTTGAAACCACCACTTACCTTGCATTCAGTAAACATTTACTGAGTGCCTACTGTATGTTTGGCAGTGTGCTGAGCACCTGAAAGGGTAATGAGCTGGCAGAGGAAGTTTGTAGTTGGGCAAAATGGAAGTCAGTGGCTTCATGACTAGACCTATGAGGATCGGTTATAACACTGGGGACATTATGCCATGGACAGGGAGGTCCCTACATCTGGGGTGTACTCAGTCTGGGAGTGAGAAGGCTGCAGTTGCTCTGGGCTTAGCCTCTTACTAGTGGTGTGAGCTTGGGCTTGTACCTTCAGCCATGTGGGCCTCAGGGTGCCCATCTGTGAGGCTCACACCTCGATCCAACCACAGCAGGAGCAAATCAACAGAAGCTGCTTTCAGGCTGAGGGTCAGGGCAGCTGAGCAGAGTTAGGACACAGTGGAGGCAGGAGGGGCCGTGATGTCAGAGGAGTGGCAGACTGTCCAGGCTCGAAGGCAGAGTCCTTGGCGGGGAGTGGATGACAAGTGTGGGAAAGGACACTCGCACATCCCACTCCAAGGAAGCAGAGGAGCAGGAAGTGGCTGACTGAGGAGAGCCTGGTAGAGCGGGTCGGATCAGGATGGAGGAGGAGAGCGACTGACAGGGAGACCTGGGAGAGCCTCTCCAACAACAGGGACCCAAACTAATGCTGTGAACACCAGAAAGAAGGCAGAGGAAGCCAACAGCAGCACGGGATTAAGGGCTAGAGCTATGTCCTCATGCAGACCCAGGTCCTACGCCATCCTACCCACTGGTTAGCTGGGTGATGTTGAACAAGCTGCTTAACCTCTCTGAGCCTCAGTTGCTTCATCTGGACATGGGACAATTCAGTATCTATGATTGATTGTAAGGATCAGGTGAATGAATGGTTACAAAGTGCTTAGTTCAGGGCCCAGCAGCCATCCTTTTGATCCTTCTGGGTGATATTAAAGTACTCATGGGCGCTCTTTTCTTCGTGTCTTTGGATCGATGTGCCCTCATGCCTCGAAGATAGATTTTCCTGCTATTATCTAAATAAAATAGAGCTGTAACACTGAGCTGTAAAAAAAATAATAAGTACTCATGACTCATGGGGGAGAAATGAAGGGGCTAGAGGAGCCGAAGATGACAGGGCAAATATTAGCAAAGGGCAACTATTAGCAAAGCAGGCTTGAGCACTTGGTGGTTAGTTAGGGTGAGTTGGGGACCTGTGGGACCTTCAGATGAAAATGACCATCAGGAGGAGGAGGTGGGGCTGGGAGAGCCTTGAGTCTCGAGGGGTGCCTGGGAACAGTTACTCAGAGGTGGCGATGGGGTGGTTACAGGAAAGCAGCTGTCACCCAGACCAGCAGGAAAGTTGTGAGTCTATTCAGAATGTTGACTGAGGACTCCAGGGATCTCCTGGGTGCACACACTTGTTACTTATCACACCATCAGAGCTGTAATCCTAGGAGCATTGTGCATCCACAGGTCAAGTACAGTTAACCTTTTTTCTATCGGAGTCAGATGTAATTAATTTTTAGGTGGATAAAAGGGCGGTATGTATTTTATGTCATATATACGGTCCATATGAATCAAACATAAAGCAGCTGGCAACTTTCATGAGCATAAAGAAGATGAGGCTGCCTAAGCATTGCATGTCACTGCAGGACAGTTGCTCTAGGACAGGATCTTGGAGGACGAGTGGAAGATGGGGGTCAGGGGAGATGAAGGAGGTGTAAGGAGGTGTGTGGGTATCAGTAGTGCTCACACCGGGGGCAGGTTGAGGCCAGAGAAGATGGCAGGGAATGAGGGTGGGAGAGATATCCCTAGCAAGGGGATGCCCTGGACACCCTGGAGCAGTGTGGGGCTGGGACCCAGACTGGCAGGAAAATGGGAAACTGGAGAGTGTAGCTCATGTTCTCAGAAGCCTGGCCATGGAGGGAAGGAGAGCAGACAGTGGTGTGAGGGGGCAGCGTGACTTAAGAGAAAGTTCTTTGGGATATGAAACATGGTGTTGATATTTACATTCATTCATTCACTTGACAAACATTTATTGAGCATCTAATGTGTACACTGTTGAAGGGAGGGAGGCATGGACAGGAGAAGAGTAAAAGTTGCATAAAAAGAAGGGTGGAAGGCTCATGATGTGGAATTCAGTGGAGGGGGAAGTGTCGGCATTGACAATTGGTGGGAGGTCTCCTGCTTCTCCTGGGAAGAGGAGGGGGCAGTGACTCCCAGGGGAAGGTCTGCGGGGGGTCGGGGGTGGAGGGGAGTGGCTGTGTCACTGTGAGGTCACTCATGAGAGCTGAGGGGGTGGCTTTGGCTTGGTTGCCATGGGGAGTGGAGGTGAGAGCGTCATGAGCACTTTGTTAACCGGCAATTTCCTTTCTCTAATAAATGCTCTTAATTCTCCATAATTGAAGGAGAAAGCACAAGAGGTCAGTTGACAAAGCTTTAATTTGGGTAACACGGAAGGAAAGCAGTTAGAGACCAATTACTCTGTCATTTACACAAACTCACTTCCGTGATTAACTGGGGTGAAGCAGGCCAAAGTTCCTACAGGAGGGGACAGCCTCCAGAAGGCAGCTCTGCCCGAGACTACATCTTGGGAAGGAGCACTTTCATGACCACGTGAGACTGAACCCTGAGGGTTTCCACAAAGAAGAGGCAGGGCCCAGCTGTCCTGAGGCTCCAGTGTGTCCAGTCCTTGCACCTGAAAAAACAGAACTCAGAGGGGACCCTGCTGCACAAGGCTGCCCCTCACTGTCTTGCCTCTCACTGTCTCACCCCTCACTGTCTTGCCCCTCACTGTCTCGCCCCTCACTGTCTCGTCCCTCACTGTCTCGTCCCTCACTGTCTCACCCCTCACTTTCTCATCCCTCACTGTCTGACCCCTCACTGTCTGACCCCTCACTGTCTCATCCCTCACTGTCTCATCCCTCACTGTCTGATCCCTCACTGTCTGATCCCGCACTGTCTTGTCCCTCACTGTCTGATCCCTCACTCTCTCGTCCCTCACTGTCTGACCCCTCACTGTCTGGTCCCTCACTGTCTCATCCCTCACTGTCTGATCCCGCACTGTCTGATCCCTCACTCTCTCGTCCCTCACTGTCTGATCCCTCACTGTCTCGTCCCTCACTGTCTCGTCCCTCACTGTCTCACCCCTTACTTTCTCATCCCTCACTGTCTCTTGACCCTCACTGTCTGTCTCATCCCAGTTCAGCTCTGCCTGACCTCATTGATCCTGCTGAAGCCAGGCTTCCCTCTCATGTCTCCCTACCCATGAGAGTAATTATCAGACTAAGTGGACTCGGATGATCCTTCAAGTTGGTCTTGCAGGAAACACAACCCGAGTACACTCGGAGAGTTTGCTCTGATCAATTACTAAGGCCGATGGGAACACACAAGGCTGAGGGGTCTTTGCTACCTGCAAAGACCAGGTGTGTTCAGTGTTCATATTGATGACTGATGACATACTGATAGCTGACCACATGACATCCTTCCCATAGTGCGTGGTTCAGAGGGGAGATCAGAGGATGGAGGAGTTGTTAGCATCTCAGAGTGGAGTCGGATTGGGGCCTGACCCGACATCAAGGCTTGGCTGAGTCTCTTACTTGCTATGTGACCTTGGCTGCTCTGTCCCCTCTCTGGTTCTCCAGAGAGGACTTGGCCTGGAAGACTCCTGAGGTTCCCCTGGTTTCTGGCAAGAGGGAGAATACAAGCAAAGGCTCAGAGGCAGGAATGAATAAACAGGTGCAGGGTGCAGGATGAGACTGGAGGGTAGAAGTGAGTAAGGTGAGGGGGGCTCCGGACTGGGGGCGCCAGCAGGGCTGGGTCGTGATGGATCAGAGAGTGGCTGCAGGCAGAAGCGAGATGAGAATTGGAAACTGTAGACTGAAGGGAGGTCACAGCCGACACTTTAGACCTCTCCATCTCGTTATTCCTGGGTGTCTCTCGAACATGTCTTGAGAGCCTTGGACAAGAAGCTGCCAAGTTATGGGGAAAAGGAATGAAAGTGGGTAGGAGGATGGGCTGCAGGCTGTTGGGTGATACCTGAGGCTGGCCCCGCGGTGACCCAGTTCTCTATTCCGGTGCAGGCTTGTGGGGCCTGGTTAACAATGCAGGCATCTCGACGTTTGGGGACGTGGAATTCACCAGCATGGAGACCTACAAGGAGGTGGCGGAAGTGAACCTCTGGGGCACCGTTCGGGTGACGAAAGCCTTTCTCCCCCTCATCCGGAGGGCAAAAGGTAAGGTGGAAGGGGACTTGGAAGGGGACCTTCTTCCTGCCCCCTGGACCTGCTCTACCTTTTTATCTTCGCTCAGAATGGTAATAGGTCTCAGCAGACCCACTACCCACCACCATCACTGGCTGAGCCCATAAACCCCAGGGGTGACACAGGGCCTGTGGATGGTGGCCAGTGGGGGTGCCCTGGGCAGGGGGTGGAAAGGGGTGTGTGGTTTTCAGACAGTAGAGCAGGTAAGAGGTCAGCATTCTACACCAAAGGCTAAAAGATTATAGCAGTAATCCTAGTCTGAGAACTTAATCTAGACAAATAACCACCCTTGTGCACAGAGCTTTGTGTATACATCATGTACTGACAGAGGTGTGCTTAAGTAAATGTTTGTATATCCATCCTATGGGTTACTATGCCATAGTTTAAAAATGAGACAATTGTGGTAGTAGTTGAAAATAATAAGAATCAAGATTAGAAATTGGCAAAACAGACAAAATGCCCAAACCATGTTAGGTAGCCAAATGTAGGCAAACCACCTAAGAAGTCCCGGGCTCATATTTTCTCCCTAGAGTAGCAAACAATATGGCAAAAAAGGGAAGGTCCATACCCTACGTCCCAGTGACCCAGCAGTGACAGGAGGGACCCAGAGAGCAGCTGTGGGGTTTTTGAAGAAAATGCCAACCTTTCAGCAACTTCCAAGTAGGAGGTTTCTGGAAGGTGTCTCTCCCTAGTGCCCTGGTGGGGCCGTGCCTTGACTTACTGGGGGCACACCCAGGGCAAGGGTGTCTGTGGTCTGCCTGGCCTTCTGGGGAAGGCTGGATGGGCTCCTCCTCTACCCACTGCTCCAGGGCAGGGAGAGGCTGTGCTAACTCCTAGCATCCCCAGGCTGGGCCTGTGGGAGAGCTTCTCTAGGTCCCCACTCTCCCCTAGTGCCTGAGACTCTGCTCAGGTTATTGTCTTAGACCTGAAGGCATGTTCGGAACCCTGCCCCTGCCTGCTTGGCAACAGAGCCAGGCCAGTAATAACAGTTTGGAGTTACTGGCAATAAGAGAACATGGCAGGCAAGACAGAGCTGTTGTCCTTTATGTTGTGCCCTCCTGCTCTGCAAGCCTACTTCTCTTTTCTCCTTCCCTGTCCTGCCTGGACCTACCTGGCTAGCCAGGAAATACCAGGGATGCTGATGCTGATGTGTGGACCTGAGCTGGCCTCCACTGTAAACGAGAAACCCCCTGACCCTGGGTGGTTCAGAAGGCTGAGCCCCAGCCATGCAGGCTGCAAAAGAGGTCTCGGGCCAAGAGGCTGGGTTCTAACCAGGCCTCCGGAAACACGCCAGGCCCCAGGTCCCCTGCAGGCAGGGCCCCGTGAGCAGGTGTTTGCCGTCTTCCTCTACAGGCCGCGTTGTTAACATCAGCAGCATGATGGGCCGCATGGCCAACGTGGCCCGCTCCCCATACTGCATCACCAAGTTCGGGGTGGAGGCTTTCTCTGACTGCCTGCGCTACGAGATGCACCCGCTGGGAGTGAAGGTCAGCGTGGTGGAACCCGGCAACTTCATCGCCGCCACCAGCCTCTATGGCGGCACTGAGCGCATCCAGGCCATCGCCAACAAGATGTGGGAGGAGCTGCCCGAGGTGGTGCGCCAGGACTACGGCAGGAAGTACTTTGACGAGAAGATCGCCAGGATGGAGAGCTACTGCACCAGCGGCTCCACAGACACCTCCCCCGTCATCAAGGCTGTGACCCACGCCCTGACCGCCGCCACTCCCTACACTCGCTACCACCCCATGGACTACTACTGGTGGCTGCGGATGCAGATCATGACCCACTTCCCCGGAGCCATCTCCGACAGGATCTATATTCACTGACAAGTGGCCTCTGCTGGGGAGCCCTGGGTGTGGGGGAAGAGGATGGAGGGAGGGGAGGGAGGGGCTTGTGCCATCCCCTCCATGTCTCCCTGGTGGATTAGCCCCATCCCAGGAGGACCCACCACCAGTCTGAGCATTAACTAAAGCAGGTAGCCCAGCCCAATTTGCATACCCAGTGAATGGCTCAGGCCTTCTCAGTTGGGGTGCAGAATGGTGGGCAGGGCCCCCAAACCTCAGGGCAAACATGGTGCCTCTGTCTTTCTGGAGTTGATTTTATACAGAGATTTTAGGTAGATATCTTTATGCTAACAACAGATTTATTATAAAATAGAATACAAATCCTTTATATTTTAAAGCCAAAAACAAGTTGAAAAAATATATCTCATTTGAGCCTTAAACCAGCCTCATAAGTTAAAAGGATGGGTTTTTTTTTCTTTGGTACATGAAGCATTTTTGGCCCAAAGAAGATATGTGAATTGCCCTTTTATTGCTTATAAGTCAATTTTGCTTATATTGATTTCTATAAAATATAAAGGTCCAAGTTCCTGCCACTGCTGTAGAAATGTTTCATGTTTTATGTTCCGGGGCAGCTCTTCACGTTTTATGTTCTGGGGTGGCCCTGGGGCCAGTCAGTGGAGGATCCGTGATTAGCTCTGTACCCTCCTTGCCTGAGCTGTGCACACCACGTGCCCACGTGCGCCTCTCTGCATGTCCTTGGTGTTGCTGTGTGCAGCCTGCAGCAGGCAATTCAGAGCTGAGTGAAGCGGGTGGCAACATTCTAGAGATTTACATTTGAGATTTCTCCAACCTGTTTTAGGACAAATGTGTGGAGGTGCTCAATGGCTAAGAGGTAGTTTGCTTCTAGTTTGGATCCGCTTGGTTCTGCCCAGGGCAGGATGCATGTTGATGGGGCATCCTTGGCAGGAGCTGTGATATATAGGACGGGCACTGTGGCATCTTCTCCCCTGGGTGGGTCCAGGTTCCCTGTCTGTCTCATGTGGTGCTTGCACACACACACACACCTGTTCTTTGGCACTCCAGCGTGGCCTTCATTGACAGCTCACCTTCCTGCTTTGGCCTTATTTTTAATTAAACCAGGCCACTGATAAGTAGAGTTTGTGTTATCACTTTTTGGGTTTGGCTTTGAAGGCTAAACTCACAGTGTCTTTGAAATTGTCCAGAACCTGCATGTTTGGACCAGAACCAGGCAACACTCTTCTCTAGGTAGCTGCATACCTTGAGACAGGGCCCTGAGTTCCAGCCCTGCAAATCAACAGGCCCTTCTGCCTTGACCTGAAAGGGCCAGGCATGCCACTAGAGGGCGGCCTGCCTCCTTCACAGCCGGAGTGGCCTCAGCTCCTGATTTGGGAGCTTCCACCCAAGCCTGAGGTCTCAGAGGGCTGGTGCTCCCCACCTTGGAAGCACTCCAGGCACAAAGACACAGAGCCACTTTAGAAACAATGTTCCTGCTCTTCTAATAGTTTCCTGGATTAAACATGGAGGCTGGTTCCAGAAGAAGGCAGAACCTGGGCAGCTGGAACCTGCCACAGGGCTCAGGCAAAGCCAAAGAGGGGGTCTCACAGCCTTTGAATTCAGCTTACCTGTTAGGGAGTCATGCCCTCTGCCGTCAATCAGGGATGCCCTGCCCGGCTCACTGTGTGCAGAGTGGGGTCCAGAGGGCCTGTGTGCGTGACAGGTGGGCAGGGAGGCTGAAACCACCTCCAGAAACCCTGGGAGGGACACTTGAGGGCCATTGTCTTTCCACAACAAGAAGAGCTTTTTGAGTCACAGAACTTGCTTTTCAGAATCTCACTTTTTATATCTTGGGAGATTTTGTGTCCATGTTTAATTTTATCAAGTAAAAATGTATGCCGCAGTTGTTCGTGTGCATGGATACCTGGGAACTGGCGGGAAAGGGTGATGGTCACACTCTGTGGGTCAGGATCAGCAGTAAACCGGTCACTGGAGAAGCACGTCTGCATCTGGGACCCCCAGGGGTAAGTCAGAACTGCTAGGCTGCCCTGCAGGCCACCTTGAATTTTAATTTTTATCCCAGTGATTGAAAAACCCAGAAAAACTTTCCTCCAGATCTCAAAGCTAATTAAAACCTGATGCAAAGAACTGACTCATTGGGAAAGACCCTGATGCTAGGAAAGATTGAAGGCAGGAGGAGAAGGGGACGACAGAGCATGAGATGGCTGGATGGCATCACCAACTCGATGGACATGAGTCTGAATAAACTCCGGGAGTTGGTGATGGACAGGGAAGCCTGGCGTGCTGCAGTCCGTGGGGTCGCAAAGAGTCAGACATGACTGAGCAACTGCACTGAATTAAAACCTCACAATTACCATTCACCTTCTGGCGGCTGACTGCCTCCTTGGGGGCAGGTCTAGTTTTGATCCTTTACAAGAGACAACTGAGGTGGGCAGAATAGAGGTCTGTTCCCCTTTTACAAATGACATTAGAGACCCAGAGAGGGGAAGTGACTCACCCAGCATCACAGTGGTCTGAGCAGATCCAGGGCCAGCACAGAAGTCTCCTGAGCAGTGCTGTTCATCATCACCTCACCCTGTGACCCCAGGGGCCTGGGAACTAGGTGGGCAGGTCAGGGGCACCTGGCACCTAGACCCCCACTGCCTGTCAGCAGAGCTGCCCCTTCTTGTGCGGGTGGGGGTGTGGGGCTGCCACCTGCTCCCGCTCTCCGGGGCTGCTGAGGACTAATGACGTCTGCCAATGCTGCCTTGGATGGGAGCATTGTCTCTGGCACCCTCTTCTTGGAAGGGGTGCTCAGTCGGTAAGGCCTGAGGACGTGTCTCCAGTTGTCTGTTCAGGCCCGAAGCTCTGGGCCTGGTCCTCTCGGAGTACAGTCCCACCTCCCAAGCAGCAGGGACTGGTCAGCAGTGCAGGGACCCACACAGAGCCCTGGGCCAGGAACCAGGCATTCTTGTCTCATTGGATCTTCCTCAAGGGGTGTGAGGTATGGGCGAGGGGACGAGTTCTGCACCCCAATCCCATGGTGTAACCTTGAGCCAGTAGTAGCTCTGGGTCCCAAGCCTTAGTGAGGGCCTGAGGCAAGAGGAGGCGAAGCTGCAGACAAAGCCTGGCCCTGGGGAGCAGAGTGCTGGCTGGGCTTTGCCTGAGCCTTCAACTGCCCCTCCCTTGATGGCTGGAGGCTGGGTGAGGGCTCTCTGCAAGATGCTCCTGACAGCGCCTTGTTATGGAGCACGGGCTGTGCTTAACATTCCACCCAGGGCCAAGGGCTGTGCAAGCAGGTGACAGACTGGCCTGGCCCTGCCTGCCATGAGCTGCTTGGAGGCAGCTGCCCAGGGCAGGGGGCCTGCTCACTTTGCTCACTTACTGTATTTCAAGTGGGGCCTGGCTCTGCAAACTTGAACTGAGCTCTTCTGGTGTGGATGCGAGCAAGCAGAGGCTCCCTCAGCTTGGGTAGAGCCAGGCCCGGGCTGTCAGAGCACAAGCAGGCCCATCTGTGTGATGCCAGCCCCGTGCACAGCCAGTTCAGCCCCTCCCCTCCTCCGATTCTCGCAGCAGCGCTGGGAGGTAGGCAGGGTGGGGTTATTATCTCATTTTACACATGAGGCAACAGACTACCCCAAGTCTCTCACCAAGGGAGGGATAGAACCAGGCGACCAAGTCAGATCTAACCTCCAGCCCGGAGTTAGTGATGCATGGAAAGGAGGGCAGATGGCACCCAGATCTAAAATAAGGAGGGGAAAAAATACCTCAATTACATAACAGTGAGAAAGATCTGTAGGCATATGCACAGTACAACCACAAGTGCTGCCCCATGAGCCATCTCCTCCTCCCCCCCACCATCTTCCCGCTCCCAGGCTCCGGGCACTGCTCCCTGGAAAGGTTGTGCTGGAGGAGCCCTCAGTGACCCTTTGAGGGAATCTGCCTGGCCTAGCTCACAGTGTGCCCCATCCTGGGCGTTTCTGAGGATGTGCTCCAAGAACACCAACACCTAACCTTGAACAGAAACACATTCAGGAGCTGCCCTCAGAGAGCTTGAGGTTGTGTGAGCACAAGGCTTGAGAACCCCCAGATACGGATCTGCGTCAGGGAGGGCTGTGGGGCTCCGGTGCTCTGGTGTAGACCAAGCAAACCCAGAGCATCTAGGCCCATCTTGTGTGCAGGCACTGACCAAGGTGGTTTGTGAAGTCTGTGGCTTCAGAAGTCTAGGGTGAACACCTACTGGGCTGGGTCCACAGCCTGGGCTTAGGAATGGGAAGGCCTCCAGGACCCTGGAACCTCAGAGAAGGAAAAGAGACTCAATCATCATCCAGCATGACTCCCAGTCCCCAGGCAGCTGGCCAGGCTTTGAAGCCCTTCAGTGACAAACATCTCACTTCCTAAGACAGCGTTGCATTGGTTAGGGAAAATTTACCTGAAGACTGAGCTGAGATCTACCATCTGTGACATAAGTCCTTCTTTGACACTTGGCCATGACCCAGAACTGCACAAAACACTGGGTTGGAAATGGCCAAGTCAGGTTCAAGAGCCAAGGTCCCTCACTTAATAAGGTTTCCATACTCCTCGCTGTCTGAGCAGAAGGTTCCAGCTGTGGTTATTCCGTCTCCCATTCTTGATGACACACAGCAAGCTGAATGGTCACCTAAGTCCCCCCCAAGCAGCAAGAAATCTGAGGCAGGTTTTAATACATCTGTTGAGATGCTGACAATTTCTTACACACACATGCCCCCTCACAGCTTATCTCTCCTCTGATCCTCATAAATGGCAAGGTTATTGTTCCCACTTTACAGATAAGGAAACTGAGCCTCAGGGAGGTGGAATGTTTTGCATAAAATCACAAAATCAGGAAGTGGGAGAGCCAAGACAGAAATTCTGGCCTGGCATCCATCTCTAGGACCCCTTCCTTTATGCCCAGGCTGCTTCAGCTTCTCTATCAAGGACCTGGAGCTGGGCTGGACCACTTACTCAAAGGCTGGTCATATAACCTGTGAAGGAGCGATGGGTGGAGA